ACATGTGGAACCCAAAGCAGAGACGGTGATGCCATCTTGTCCGTCGCTGTACATCGGTGTGACCGTCACTTTGTACTGTGTGTCTGGCAGTAGAGGCTCCAGCACTGCACTCCTCTGACCACCAGGAACCAGCATCTAAACACACACATATGTATATATACACACAGAAACATTCAGGTTATGTTTAAAGACTCTACAGGGAATTTTAAAGCAGCGCTGAGCTCTGCACATACAAACCGGGATCACACACACACACACACATGTTGATTCTATATGTAGCAGCCTGGATACAGAATCTATGCTGTTGCTGCTAAGAAACAGCAGGTACCTGCAAAACGCTGCATATATCTCGAGATCTGAAGACTTGTGCTCGCTTCCGTTTAGTCGATAAAGTCGGTTGATGCCAAAAAGTGAGGCAGAAGGGAGCTGGGAGAAAAAAAGCTATTACTGCTCGTTTATAAGAGCTGAAGTTTGTTCAGGTTCCTTCGTATAAATAATTCACTTCTTTATCTAAAACCATTTTAAACAAGCTACATCCAAAGAAGCAGGATTCTGTACATTAGCAGCTAATACTGTTGACATTTTACATGATGAAAACAGATAAAAGTGAACTAAGGATGAGGCTGACTTGTTCACTCTTGACACTTGAAACCACCTCCGAACTACAGCAGTTCAAAGTTTCCATTATTCTGAGCACTTTAATGACTTCTTGCTCGTGTCGGCTTGAGCTGTCTGAATATTGAGCACGACAATTTATTCTCCTGAAAAGTGCTCAGAATACAGATGTAAGATCCCCATCAACTGATAAACGCTTCAAAATAAAATTTTCGGGATTGGCCCCCAAATCAGCAACAGCAGGCAGGAAGTCGACAGATATGTTCGACAGTGTTGCGTAGAAATAAATGTGGGACACTCTGCACTTAATTTCGATGCAGTTTTCTTATTTTTTTTTTTTCCCAGTGAATGTGTACATTTGAACAGCACTGTATTTTATGGCTGCACCTGCCAGCGGGTCATCACAATAATAGTATGTTAATTCTATTACAGTAGAGACGCGATGTTCTCTGCAGTCAGGTTGGAGAAATATGTGCATATATCACTTTTGGGAACCGGCCAAAATGAGTTTGGCGTATCAGATATCTGCAAAAATCCAATATCGTGCATCCCTAGTTCAGACTAATGAAAAGTACAGAAAATTTCAGCGCCGTGCCAACCGAGCGAGCTGATGAAGACTGTGTGAGGCGGGTCAAAGTGGACTCTGAGGGGAGATTGTTTTGTCAACTAAGTAAAGATGTTTGTGATTAAATCATTACTTTATAGAATTTTAACTCAAATGCAGCTCGAGCTTCGTCCATACGAATAAGGATATTTTGCAAGAGAAATGTTTTCCTTTGCATTTTTTTGGGGCCTCCTATCTGCACACAAATGCACTTTTAGCTCACTCAAACTGAGGTTTTATCAAACACCAGTTTTTGTGTAAGAGTGTGGACGTGTAAAACGGAAAGTCTGGGAAATATTGATATAGTTGTGATATAATTGCAGGACACTGGTTAGAACGAGAAGTTGCAGGTTTATAACGAACTCTGCACCTGCACACAAAAACATCTGCGTCTGCAACTCGGTGCACAGCATCTGTGATTTAACGTCTGCAGAAACACAAAATTATTTTCTGGTATTTGATGTGTCGTTAATGTCGACTGCTCCAAAGATATTTTGCAAAATGATCGCAGCGGACAGATTATTCTTTAAAGAGCGAAGATATCCGTCAAGAAAACGATCCGTATTCGTGCGGACAAGGTGTAAGTTACTTCAGAGAGTCTCTCACAAACTGTGAACATGAAAGTCAGCTCCCTCCTGCTTCCTATTAAATAAACTTTTTTCTTTTTAACTTACAAAGCAAAGCATTACTTGATCGGCACATCAGAAACCCTTTTAATGTTCATCTGCTTTCCGAACAACAAGACAAGAGACTAACTTTTCTGTACTGACTTAACGGTACTGATTTCCAGCCTGCATCTGTCTGTGAAATAAAGACCGAGCGAGGCGGAGGAAGGTGAGTTCAGTTCAGTCCAGGTGTCAGACCCGGGTTTTGAGAGGAGCTGTCCCCTGTGACCGCGGTGCTGAAACACACTCAAAGCAGGAATATAACATAATCCAACACATGAACACACAATCCCCTCGGTGTGACACGTTCAATCATCCTCGCTGTCTCTTTCCCCTCCATCCGTCTCTGATATACATCCACGTCAAAACTTGCAAGCGTGACCCGAAACAACCTCTATCCCCGATCGGGCCGACAGGTTTGAGCCTTTCTTCCCGTTTTGTTTAGCTATTGTTTCTTTTTCCACCTCTCTTTGTTTCTCTTGCTCTTTTCTCTGCCGCCCTCCATCTCTGCTCCCAGTGAGGTAAATGGCTGCTGAAAAGATAATGGAATGTCTTCTAGCCCGGCCCGGCCTCTCCATCTTCTGCAGCTCTGACACCACGTTGGGAAATTAAAACAGGGAGGAGGGGGAAGGAGAGGGAGAGAGGGGGGGAGGCGGTGAGAGAGAAGACAAGGAAAGAAAAAAAAAAAGAAGAAGAGAGAGGAAAACAGAGCGATAGAGGCGCAGGAGGAGGAGGAGGAGAGGAATGGCCGGGGTTTGTGTGTGCTGAGCATCGGGGTCAGTACGTGGCGCTGAGCTCAAGGGCTCTCAGAAGAGATGGAGGGATCAGGAAGGAGAGGCCGAGTGGACCACGACTAAAAGTGTAATCAGCTTCCCGACTGTAGCCGATGACCCCACGCTGACCGCTGTAGCGCCGTCCAGTTAGCAGCAGATGTGAAACAACAAGGACCTTCCTCCAAACTGTTGTCTGTTCCGTAAAGTCAGTGTTCACAATTCACCAGCGTTTACATGCATGTGTTTGAGAGCTGCACCCAAAGGTCTGTGAAGAGGAAGATTTTAAAAACTAAAAAACAAAAAGCTATTTACCGTCTAATCCCCAAAACTGGCAGCAAAGTTCAAAAGGCAAGTTTTCTTCTATTAAAAACAAAAAAACATCTAAATTTTAACATTTATCAGGGCGAGAAACTGTTAAAACAGAAAGAATCATCAGATTTTTAACTTTTTGATCGTCCTTGAATGCATCATGTGATGATTCTGCCAGAAAACGTGACCAAACCTCAGCTCAAAATCAAGTTTTCTACACGTCTCACGTCTAAAAAATACACCAAACAACAAGCAATGTTTTGCTGTGTTTCTGTGCGGCTAATTATTTCTCTGTTAGTTTTTTCTCCTGCGGTTGAACAGATGTTGTTTATATTTATGAATATTGCAGAATAGTCGTGACATTTCTGCTGCCAAAACTACAATTTTGTCAAAACACTGAGCAATCAGCATTTCAATTCTACAGCCCGGTTAGTTTTTTTCATGTTATGTACATCCCTGCAAGATTTTTGGAGAAAATACCTCCTCTGGTAAACTCATCATGTTCTAAAGCTAGTTTAATTTATATTTACCTGTTTATTTAGAGTGAAGCTACTTTATGAGGCACATTATAAAGTAGCTTCTTTATTCTGGAAAAAGGAGAGGAGGAACGTATGGAAACAAATTAGAGCAATTGAAAGGAAAATAAAGCACGC